GCCAAGGCCAGTACATCAAAAATAACTTAAAAGAAAATTATACTAAGCCTGAGACGACGGTGGAGGTGCTTCAACAGCCGAGGGCTCTGCAGTTTGAGCATCAGAACTTCCTTCTTTTGCCTTCGCCACTTCATCTCCAACTGCTTCATCAGCTGGGGTTTGAGACACTTCATCCACAAAGTCCGACCTCAGTTGTGACAGGTCTTGATTTGGGTAAAGCTCCTCAGTCCTCTCCATCACTTCAGCATAAGCATAATTTCTCCAGTAAGCACTGAAGCTCTTGTACTCCTCGGTATTGTGGAAGTTGGCGATGTAGTCTTTCACCGCCTCCTCCCTTGCATCATGGGCCTCCTCCCTAGCTTTGGTTGCATCATCAATGTACCACTTAATCTGGCCCTCAATGAACTTGTCCGCATCTTGTCCCCTGCCAGCTTCGTCTTTGCCTTCTCCAAGGCTTCGACATTCACCTTCTGATGGTCATTGGAAACCTCCACTTTCTTAAGGAGGCTATCTCGCACTGGGACTCATATACCTCCTTCTTCAACGTCTCGATTTGAGCCAAGGCAAACTCCAGCTTGGCCATATCTTCAAGTTTTTAGGCCCTTGCTTCCTCCACCTCGGCTTTAGTCCCCTTTAGCTCCTCTGTAAGGGAGGTCATCTTCTTCTCTGAGGACTGGGTCCTCGTTTGAAAGTCAGTAAGGGCCTTCATGCACTCCAGTATGAGGCCAAAGGTCCTCACACTTTGACTCATGAGGGCCCTCGTCAAGTCTATGGCATCACATGAGGAGGCGTGCAACTGCCACCGATCCGTCCAGAATTTGTAGAAGCTTTCAGTGGCACTTCGAATCTCATGTGGCAGAGCTTCCACCAATGCTGGAGCCAAAACCTCCACCCTTCTGGCAAGGAAGCTCAGAGACTTCCTTTGCATCCTAGCAGGTCTCTGCTTGGCAGCCTCCTCCTCTGCCGCCTCCACTTCCCTCCTCGCAGCCTCCTCCTTAGCTTCCTTAGCCTCGGCTCGACGAACCACTTCTATCTTTACAGCTTTTGAGGCGGCTGCAAGGAGCTTCGGCTAACTACTTTCCTTGCCTTCATGGGACACAGAGGTCCCAAACTTTCCTGATGAGCTGGTGACGTGCACCAGCTTCCTGCTCCTCGAGGAGCTTCTCTTTCCCCCGAGGGTCTTCGCCTTCTCCGTCCTCTGAGGTGTCCCCTCTTCTGGAGCCTTTGAGTTGCCATCCTTAGAGAGGCACTCAACCCTTCCCCTAACCTCTTTGGCACCACTGGACCCCGGCTTCAAGAGCCTCGCCTTCACAGTGGATGTGGCCCTAAGTATAAAGGCCATATCAGGGATTGGGTACTCCCTCCTCTTGAACTTGTCTGCAGAACGTGTCAACGAATCAACATCAAAACGAAAAGCAAGAAATACACTAAGTATAGAAGCTTCTTACCCTTGGAGGCCATCAGTTCGAAGTCAAGGAAGTAGCGACTTTGGTCGATGAGGTGGTTGAAGTGGCGAAGCTTAAGAGGCCTCTTGTAAATGTCCTCTATCACCTCGAACTCCTCCTTACTCAACTCGAACCTCGTACTGCTATTTGCAAACGAAGCCTCAATAGTTAGAGAAAAAAAATTTGGATACAGAATGCAAACTACTTAGGCTGGGAGACTCACAAGTTTCGTAGTACTGGATCGATACTGTGCAAGCCAGGGCTGTGTCTCCCTCCACCGCTTGTCACCTGCCCCTCACCCAGAGCCACAACTCCTTCCATCCCTTAATGGAAGAAGACAGCCCCACCACAAATGGTGCATGAGCCCCCTAAGGAGTCAAGTAATACCACCCCCTTGACTCCTTACCTATTACCCTGGGCTGGAATAGGGTCATGAAGACGTGGAGAGGCATGTCTTCCCCAAGCGACACTTCCTTCCATAGGAAGTACAAGCCAACCAACTAGCTCCACCCATTTGGCAGAACCTGGGTCGACGACAACATAAAGTTCCTCAGCACAGCCTTAAAGAAGGGGTGTAGAGGAAGACGCATACCTGCCTTAAACAAATATTCGCTCACCGCCACGTACCCAGGCCTCGGATGACAGGCTTGCTCATAGGCCTCGGGTACTAACATCTCCACATAATGAGGTACGCAGTACCTCTCCCTTATCTCCCCCAACCTCTTCGATGTCATATTCGAAGGGACTCTAGACGCCCCCACTCTACATTGTAGTCTACTGCCTCCTCGATCATAGCAATCCGCTCAACCTCAGAGTCCCCTTTGTATCTAGACCCCCGACCAAACGACGCGACAGTAACCAACTCCCTACCCGAGGTGGACTCCATTTCAGAAAACGACTAAGAACACAATACAAGGGATGTTCTGTAAAAAAAGCCTACGAGGTTACTACGTTGATGAAATGCTGCCGGAAAGTCAGAGGACAAAGAGCTTCGACACCGAAAAACTTTAGCTTGAAAGAAAAATTGGATTGCAAAGGGTAGAAAATCCAAGACAATAAGGGTCTCTTGCCTTTTATAAAAGGTCAGGACGAACGCAACCGTCTGATCAAAGCCCATCCAATCTGAACCCTTCATTTTTAATCAAATCCAAGGCTTAGAATTCAAATGGTTTTTCAAATCTACGCCTCAGATAAAAGCGTGTCCTCCACGCATCTCCTTCAACGCGTCTGCTTCTAGAAGCTCCAGCTGTCCTCATGATTACGGTTTTAATTCGACGGCAGTAGGAGCCTTGGAAGTTGTAACGGTTCAGCTACTTTTCCTCAAAAATATGCGCAAAACATCAAATCATTGGCACAGTTGTCGAGGAACAATTATTGTCAACGTGCTCAAAATTCAGCCATCAAGCCTCGCAGGTTCGGTTACCCAACTACCTCGGCTTCTTCATCAGAATTCAGCCATCAAGTCTTGCAGGTTCGGTTACCCAACCACCTCGGCTTCTTCACCAGAATTCATCCATCAAACATCGCAGGTTTGGTTTTCCAACCACGTCGACTTCTTCATCAAAATTCAGCCATCAAGCCTCGGAGATTCGATTTTGTAACCGCCTCGACTTCTTCATCAGAATTCAGCCATCAAGCCTCGCAGGTTCGATTTCTCAACCACCTCGACTTCTTCATCAGAATTTAGCCATCAAGCCTCGCAGGTTCAGTTATCCAACCACCTCGGCTTCTTCATCAGAATTCAGCCATCAAGCTTCGCAGGTTCGATTTTGCAACCGCCTCGGCTTCTTCATCAGAATTCAGCCATTAAGCATCACAGGTTTGGTTTCTCAACCACATCGGCTTCTTCATCAGAATTCAGCCATCAAACCTGGTTACCCTACCACCTCAGCTCCATCATTCTCATCACTTCTTAGACGACAACAACAAATCTCTAACTCCAACCATGATATAAATATCTATTCTTGGACTTGGGAGACTATTATTCGAGGTACAAAAATTTCAAAATTTCAAAAACTTCTTTCAAATTAATTGGCTGGCTTTACGTTTTACTTCATCAAAGTCCTCGCATTATATAAATGACTATACTTGGACTT